GGGGGGTGCGGGGGTGGGGGTTAGGGACGCCGTATTCTTTCAATAATATCCGGTTTCCCGTTAACCTATTAATTCTGCGCTGTGTGAACTCACGTGGCGCGACATTACAGGAGACCGTGTTATTATCATTTCCTGCAACGGTATTGAAAGTCATAACTATAACAATGGACAAACGTACAGCCGCGGGCACGGGGAAAATCCCCGGGGGACATGTCCCCTCGTCGCCACCTCCAACGGGCGCCCGCGGCCCACGGGCAGATCTACGGATCGTTCGTGGAGCGGATTCGGTACCTGCACGTGTTCGCTCTGTCTTGTTAACGCGCGACGTAATAAAATTGCGGTATATTTAGAACGTAAACTCGTTTTAGAAAAAAAAAAAAAAAATGTTTTACACGTACCTACAGCCCTCGAAAACGTCCCTCTTTTTAACCGATATATTTTTAGTCGTGTTTAAACTCCGCGGAACCTAAACACCACGGTTAACGGTCTGTGTGTAGCTGAAAAAGCGTTATACAGACTTTTGAATGTAAGACAATGAGAGACCATTATACGTATACCAGCCCGTGTTGTGATACGAAACCGAAGCGTTTTAATGGCGACCGCTGTGTGACCTTTATTGTAAAAAAATATAGACACATACGTAAGGTACATGAGGTATTGCCGATTGGCAAATAAATCGGTCCCCTGGCATTTCGTTATTTCCACCGAAATCGCGGTAACTACGAAAGCCTGTTGATAGTATACTCGTATACTATACTCGGTGTACACAGGAATCTTAAATCAAATTAATATAATTCAAACATTTTATCTGTCGACGTCAAAAAATACTATTTTTTTTTTTTTTGTAAGAGGTGGGTGGCGGGTTACCGAAAACGATTTTTAAATTTTAACGTTTACAATTTAATTAATTACTTACAAACATACAATACCCGTTTGTTTTTTTACGATTTTTTTTCAGCTCATGGCGTACGTTTTTTTTTTTTTAAAAAAACTTAAAAAAACGGTTTCATAGTTGTATTTAAAATAAATACTCGATAAACTTTCTTTTGGTTTTTATTAACAGATCCTTTTTAGAATTGTTCCGACATTTTTATAATAAATTCTATTTATATCCTATTTTACGACGCATATAACCAAAGAAACATTCGAATAATCAATGGAGAATAGTGATGTGGCATAAATCCGGATTATCCGAACATCCGAAAAATCCCGACATCGTATTTTGGACCACGAATTAAGAAATTTCCAATTTCGGATCTCAAAATTTACAATGTTGCGATTTAGTCTCGAAAGGTATGAAAAACGCCTGGAACAATAAAAAAAAAAAAAAAAAAAAAAAAAAAACACAATTATACATAATTATAATTTTTCCGATTTTAAATCGAAAAATTCAGAAGTATCAAACATCAACGTAAACGGATTTTCGTTCACTACTAACGCCTAATTATATTATATTATTATGCAGGTACCGTTGTGTTAACGGGTTTTTCGCCGCGCCAATTATCTGCATACAATCTACCAAACAGTACATAAATCGCCGCGTGTCTAAATAACAATACGACCTGTTAAAACAAAATATATACACGTTCGCATGCCGGATGATTCACTAAGCGTGCTCACCCAATTTTTCTCGGTTAAATTTTCCCCGTATAGCGGATAGCCCGTCGAGCGTAATGTGCATTTCAATAGTGTGCGGGCGCAAAAGCCTCGGTCATAAAATTGGCAATTATTTTTCGCGGTTTCGCCGAGTGTAAATCGGCGACTTTGAAAACCTTCGCTAAATCGTTGCGGTCGACCGACGCAACGCGCCGGGCTGATTGGTGCCAACCGTTCGCAAAATGTTCGCTCTATTTTAACAAGTTGAGCGACAGTTTTTCCTCTGTTCCGATAAAATAATAATAATAATAATACAACACGTCATGTCGAGAAATTGGCTGCGAAAAAATAAAGTCAAAATAATTTAACAATATTACGGCGACGGCGAACGACGACGTGTGTCAAAATCCATTGCGTCTTCACGGCGAAAAGGCGTTCAAACATTTTATTATTATTATTTTTTNAAAATTTTTTTTTTTTTTTTTTTTTTTTTTTTTTTGATTCGCAGCGAGGAATATATTGGTTACGATGCGTGCATTTTGTTTATAATTGTTGTGTTTGTCCGTCAGCAAACAACTCTTCTGATGTTGTTGACTGCATTAGAAAAGTGATATTATTCAAGGGGTTTGCGTAATAATCGGGAAAATCAGGATTTTTTTACGACTATTACGATTTATTTATCTATAGGCATAACCTTTCCCGCCCATTCGGTATTTCTTCTGGTATATTTCTGGTTTTTTTTCATTTTTATTGATTTTTCCTATCATTTTCGTCGCGGAGACAAAACAAACAATATAACAATTATTACATGTTTCCATATTAAAGATTTAATTTGAATTAGTTGTTTTCTCAACTTAAAACTGCATTTGTTTATAGTGCATATTTTATTAATCACTGCTATACTCATGTATTTTGTATTTTAAAACATTTTGATTATGCAGGTTCCTGTAAAAATAAATAACAATATTATAATTAATAGTAGTTCTGAATCATTTAAATCTTCATCTGGATTTTGTTTAGTAGGTATACCTATGATATAATTAACATGGTGTGAAAGCAATTTCAACGAAAATGAGATACAACTCAGTGTTAATGGAAGAAAATGGCCAATGATCATATCATAATATATTTGCATATTATGTACATATACTGAGTGAATTTTGCAATTGAGTATGATATATCTAAAAAAAAAAGAAACAAAAAAAAAAAAATTAATTAAAATTTGAAAATGTATGGCATAATCAATAATATATGTACTTTTTAATTAATTTTAAAGTGAATTTTCAAATAAGTTATAATAATTTATTATCATGGGATATGTAAATGAAAATAATTATTAGACATAATACTATAACTTAAAAGTAAGCAAGTCTACATTTTTAACATTCAACTAGGCACGGCAAGTACATTCATATTTAATTACAATCAAAAATATAAATAAAAATTATACAAAACCTACAACTGTTGATTGTTGAACACTTGAACCAGACAAAATTACTAATTAAATAAAATAAATAATAACTGTTAACAACGTATTGTGATAACGGGCGACGGACTGAATGACGTAGACGCAATGCGTCTACAAGAACTCCAGAACTCTGTTGCTGTCATACCATGTTAATTATAATATCACGAGTATACTCTTCAATCCCCGCTGAATAGATATTTGTATTTCTTTTCTTTTTAACATTATTTTATAATGATTTATTTCCATGGTTGTGCAGTTAAAAAAGGCAGCCATACAACCCGAGGAAAAATATTACAATAAGTACATAGGATTACATTTTTACTAAATATACAGCGGATGCACGTTAATATCACACTTGAATATTCAATCATCAATCAATCAATCAGACTGTTGATGATTAGAAAATAAATACAACTGTTGAAATAATCCAATGACGTTAATTTATATGAACGAATAAATTAAAGTTAAGCATTTACTCACTAGTCAGTTACAATGATAATTAAAAAGAAAAAAAAAATCGGGGTTTTAGTTTTAAACAAAAAAACAAAAACAACTATCATGTTTAGCACATGATTAATGGTTAAAATAATCCAGCGAAATATTACTGGCCTGGAAATGTTCGTGTTAGCCCAACGAAAAAATATGACATTACGTTATAACAAATATTGCGTACCTACTTTACTCATAATTCAATTTTTACTACACGCTCAACAATACGCATTCATACCTTAATACCACAATAAATTTTTTATCATCGAACCAGAAAATGAACTAACAAACAATCAACCATGCATTATATAAACAAAACTGTGTAATTTATTACTCAGGTGTAAGTAGGTTAAGTTACTTGTCTAAACGTGTTGCAATAATATCTTTGAATTTATTTATTTGTTTATTATTCCCCATTAAGTATTATTAATACAAATATAATACAACTGATACGTATGCCGACTGAGCTAAACGCTTGTATCTGGCATACGGGAAACGACAAAAGGCCGACTTTCATATTGTTTACCATTGTATGCCACGTTCCGCCGTGTACAGAATACACTGTTAACATTGGCATTTCAACTAACTATAGAGTACTAAACTCTTCGTTAAATATCTGTAGGTAATTTTTAATATATAGGTAAATAGTAAAATATCTTGTTACTCTTAAAATCGAAACGAAATACTCTTATTTAAAACGTTGTCAAAAAAAAAAAAAAAAACCAAACGAAAACGATGTTGTCAATCAAAAATCGAAATACATAGATGTGAGATTAGGCTAAACGGCCGGGGAAACAAAAATAACGTATGTTAAACTGGAAGAAATTCAAATCAAATTTGGCATTTTAGTTTTAACAAAATTATATAATCAATTTGGCTTTTTGTAATCTATTTCAAAGTAGGGAAGACTTAGAATGGTCTTGGTAATATTTAGTGTGTAGATCGATTATGATTTCTGTTTAGAGTTTACCAAACAAATCAAATAATTATTGAAGGTAATTATTAAAATAAACATATTGTATATACAAATGAAAAAAATTAAATGATCTAAACAATTATTCTAAGTTTTAGAGGGATTCAATAGTTTTCATTCAAAATTATTATTTATTTTGGTCGTGGAATTTGAGGCAAAATGTATTTAAATGGCTTCTTAGCTTATTTTCCACCGACATTAGAAAAAACTAAAATAAAAATATCGTTTTACATAAAATCAAATGTAATACAATTACCCAATTATTAGTAATTAAAATGTATTATTTTAAGGTAAATAATATTATATTTAAATATAGTTAAACGCAGTGGTTGACAAAAAAAGATCGGCGAACAATAATACATTCGAATTAAGCGTTATTTAAAATATATGTTTGTACGTTTAATGGCTTGGTTACTGTTGTGATTTAATTCAACAAACATTCAAATATAATAAACGCACACATTTTGTTTAAACATGTCGACAACGCCAAGAGCTGCACCATCCGTATCGGCGGATAGGAATTATAGACGACGCTGCGAACAAGAATATAAAGCTTCGGACGAGTGGAATTCTAAATGGAGCTGGATGTTGGATATTAATAAGTATAAATTATCAGTAATGCACAATATACCATATCATGCGTGGTGATTCTCATATCGTCGAACACTAATTATTTCAGAAAGTATTGATATTTTTTTTAAAACAAATTGTTTTGAAAACGTTCTGAAATTTACATTATCATTATTTTTTATCTCCCTAGTTTTAATGGATGAAGCGGCTACCGACTTTTGATTGCCGAATAATAGCCTGCATTTAAGGTTCATAAATAAATATTAAGTGTTGTTTTAAATGCATTTTGGTGTTGACATGATTGTTTCCCATCAACCCGTTAACATTTAAAATCGACCAAGGGTAAAGAGTAGCGTAGTATCATTTGTGTAGCAAAACGGCACGCGGCGTTTGAATAGTACTCCGCTATTTTATTTTCTGTTCCTATACTTAAAAGTGGATTATTTCGTGAACGAATTGACGAAAATCAAAAAGTTCAGCACTAAAATATATTTAAACTGTTACGATCTATCTGTTTATAGATTTTTAATGTAGTTAACTACTAAAAAATCTAGTCGTTTAGCAGTCAAATATATGAATGAAAAAAATTAATGATATTGTAGATTTTAGATCTGATTTTTTTTTTTAACTGTCTAGAAAAAATATTTTTAAAAAAATTCAATACTCAATAATGTGTGTTTAACAATAAAAGAATCACTCTGAATACGAACAACGTACTTTATTTTTGAACTGTGTGCAGCGAGAGAAATAGGAAAATAAATGAAGTGAAGAAACTATACCATGATTCCATGGTTAAAAAAGACGACGCAGACAATTTAAGTTTAGATTTTAGCAGAATGCCAAGTTATCCTGATACTACATATAAAGAGGTTTATAAATTAAATAAACGTATTAATTTATTATATAGACACTTGTTTTTTTTTTTTTTTCATTTAGGTTGGTTGGTTATCGAGCTTACCTGAATTTCAGTTGGAGATTTTCGGACCAGATGTTAAACGTTGGTGCTGAATATTATATGTGTAAAGTGGAAAACGTTGAAATAACCAATTGAAACATTTTAAAAGGTTAAGTTATTATTTTTATTAAACCGCGGTTAAATAAATGTAATACTTACACGATCGCGCAAGTCATTTTTAATGAGCTGCGATTGCTTATAAAATGGTGTACATTGATTTAACGTTGCACGAATAGTTTACATTCAAACAGCATACCAAATTTTACAATAATAGGATAGTAAATAGTGTAATACGAATTAAACTGCTATTGTCTGTTTATCTTTATAGACACTAAATGTAAATCAAATGTCTCTTAATTTTATTGCAGAATATAATGATTCATATTCAGGTAAGTAATAACGGACGGACATAAAGTCATATTTTATACCACGTTTTGTGAGTATTAGAGAGACATTTCACCTTAGTTCGGTTTTCCGGTCCTCGAAAAAAAAAAAAAAAAAAAAAAAACGATTCCAAGAGAAGTTCAATTGATAGTGTTGCTTTGTCAATAATACATATCCCGTATTATAGTAAAACAATTGCACAGACGTTATATATTTTCTTTAGTAATATTCGTTTCGTTTTGTACCTATTTTTCCCATTTTCCCTACAGGTTCCTATGTTTTTTTTTCGGTTTTTCACGTTTATTCGGAAAACTTCTTGGAAAATCGAAAAAAAAAAAACCGACCTCCTTAAAGTACAGGTTTCCTTTCGGAAAAGGTGCTACACTAAAAATCGCAACAAGATTTCTAGTAAGTAGGAAAGTTGTCCGTAGAAAAAAAAAAAAAACAAACAAACAAACAAACATCGTTTTAAAACCGCGCGGGGTTCTTCCCTCCGCTACCCGTCAGAATCCCGAAGAAAAAAAAACCTAAAAAAAAAAAAAACGCGCACTTATATTTCGCGATAACGAGCGTCTTACAGGCGGCCGGGTGAGTCGCGCGACGCGTCGTCGGTTCGGCGGCAGGGACCGTTTTTAACGCAATAAGCATTCGCGCGTCGCGTCTCGGCCGACCGTTCGCCGTCGCCGGGACAATACGCGTAACGTGGCGCGTCGATCGCGACGACGATTATTTGTCATTACCCGCAGATACATCGGCCGTCGGTCGCCGGCGGCGGCGGCGGGCGCTCGGCAGACGGGTTCGGGCCGCGCCGCGGCGTTGATATCCGCGACGCGAACGGCCGCCCGTGCGCGTCGAGAGCTCCGGAAATACCGGCCGTACACCTGCAACGCGGTGCTCGACGCGTATGCCTCGCCGGCGACCGTATCCGGTTACGGAAACGGACCCTCGCCAGAGACCTTCCTACAGAAGGTTCGGGGGTGATTCCGACGGGACGTTCCGGATCGGGCGCGCGCGAATCGCTCGCGGTCGCCCGGCGAGCCTAAAAATGACACACCCGCCCCTCGGGTAAAACGCGGTAACGACGGAATGCCGCGCGCGGAACGTCTTTCGGAATCTCTCGGCCGAAACGCGTTATCTTCACTCGCGGCCGCCCCGTCGATTTCATCGAAAATACGAACCATCGAAACGGACCGCAAATGTTCAACAACGCCCGCGCGTTTCCAACACGCTTATCGTCCGTGACAATTGTAATCCAGCCGATATTCATGTTTCTCGATGATTATAATCGGCACTGCTATACAAGACAACGTTTTGTTCCAAAGGCCGATGTTGCCACGGGCATTTTTTTTTTTTCTAGTAATACGAGAAAAATATATTTTTAGGATTTTACCGTTACAAACAAAACGTTATTCATTGTTATATCGACTTTTCATTTCCGAATCCATATTTAGGAGCTTCTCGCATCCTCTCGCATACGAAAATATCATATAAAACACATTAGCAGTATTAGTAAATATAAATATAGTTCCGCCGCTAGGATCAAATTTTGCCCAGTTGACTTGTTGCCGTGACAATATTTCATTCCCGACAACAATATATTCTATTATCATACACACGTTCTAACCGAGTTACTTAACTCTACGAGTCTGTAAGGGTATTTAAAACCCGGTACTTTCTGTGAAAACACGAAATCCGAGCGCAAGAGTGGTTAGAGAGGGGAGGAGCGGTTGAAAGTTTTAACCACTAAAAGGCACATCCTTGATAATTACACCGTACGTATACAAAATGTCAACCCGCTGGCTTCATTTGGGAGGCAGGTATGTACTGTGTAGTGCAAAGTTGAAAAAACACCCACCTGCCGCAACAACACGGTGATGTTCATACTGAAATGTAAATGGAATTTTAACTGCTCAGTCCACCTATAAAAAATATTAAAAACTATGATTTCCGAGTCCGGGTTCATCTAGACCGGAGGAAACCGTTGAAAGTGCCGGGAAAAATATATGTAGGTACGCATAATTAGGTCTGGCAGTAATATGCTCTGGAAACGTATCGAATATTTATACAGTTATTGCACGAAAATCCCCAAAATACGCCTTTATAATAATAATAATAACAATCAATTCTAATTCTAATTTATTCAAATAGATTATATTATTTGTTTTGTATACTGTAATAAAACACACGCACAAAAAAAAAAAAAATGTGGTATTTCAATATTTGAATTTCCCTTCGTACGATTGAAATTGTGGAAAATAAGAACGGATATCGTTATTTTCCATTTCCAATGACCGGGAAATATGTTTTAAATATGAAAATACGATTCGATCAGGCCTTACGGATGTAATGTAATAAATTCTATAACTCACGACAACTCGTTTGGAGTAAAATATTTACTAAATAATGTTTCGTCTTAAATACGGGCGTCTAGCGATATGATATCGCGGTTTGCTTGCTGAATGCTGATGTTTTTTAAATCTCGAATAATTATTTTCGCGATTCTCGATTCGCCGAGTTGAAAACGTCTGAATAGTTTACGAAATCCCAAACAGCATGCTCTATAACCGTACGAAACCATTGAAATACGTTCTAAAAACCCGCAGAATCCTAAAATGTATCATAAAAATCATAAAACGTCAAGAGTATGCAAAATCAAATCGTGTGTATCGATTCGTTTAGGTCGGGAAACATATTATTTTGGTATTAATTCGTTTTGTTTACGACCAACCATTAAAAATGCGCGAAAACGTCGGATTTATACTGCAGATGTAAATATTGTAAATATTTAAAATAGGATATTTTGTAAACCGTATATTATACAGTGTGTCCCACCATATTCGACGGATTTCCCTAGCGCTGTTAATGTCAAATTTGTTTCGATTTTTTTTTTTTCAATCTATTCGCCTTCGAGGGGATCGTCGATTCTGAGAAAAATTAAATTTTTATTTTCATCGCCAAAGTACAATAAAAAAAAAAAAACAACTTTATTTAATGGGCTTTAGAAAATTGTCAAAATACATTCATATAGTTTCTTCATTATAACCGTTATGAATTCCAGAAAATAGGCGTGAAAACATAATAATAATAATAATAATAATCAATAGACGGTAAAGAATTGCATTGCCGTACCGATTGACATTCCGTATCGCGTTACGTGTTATTTTTATTGAATACTAATTATTTCCGAGCCTAATCAAAACTGTTAACTAACTCATCGGCTACGAACGTGTGATAAATTAAAAATGTTTTGATAATATTTTTTACAAAATGGCTATTTTGAAAATTTTTCAAAGCGAATAAATAAAAAGTTATTCGTTTTTCTGTCTTAGAACGGTGAACCATAAAAATCGAATTTTTCTCCGAATCGATGCCCCTCCCCCCTCCCACACCCAAAGACAGACCGATTGAAAAAAAAAAAAAATATGCTCCAGAAAAATGCGTCGAACATGACGGGACACGCCGAACATTTTGACCGTAGAGAAGACCACAAGAAGACGCACGGAAAATCAAATATTTACCCGTAACCAAATATCCCCGGGTGTGCAATGAGACATTGTTTTATCAATCGAGTCGCTCTGTATACAATAGTCGTACCGGCGACGACGGCGGCACAGTCACTGTAATCGGTTCGAACAATTATATTATTCTGTTTCGGCTCCAACAGTTCGGAAGCCATTACAGAATAACTTTGCTGTTATTAATTATACAGTTGCGCGTGCCGTGCGCATATGTTAAACAGCGCGCGGTGAAGTTATAGTCCAATAAAGTCCCGAAAGTTTTCGCGCTATACGATTACTTTTAAATCATCGGTTAGCCTAATGTCCGTACGGTAATATTATTGTCCGCATCAGCGCCAAAAACGTTTGCGATTCTCACCGTCGCCGGCAGCGGGGTTGTCCTTTTTTTTTTTTTTCTCCCGAGAGCAATCCTAAATAACAATCAATAACTAATAAAAAAAAAAAAAAAAAAAAAGAACTTTTGGGACGCTGGTACAAAGAATACGTTATTTTTTTACCCAATTAGTTCATTAAATCCATCGAGGTTTTTTTTTCGTTTTTATTTTTCTACTGGTTTAACGCGATGTACGTTATGTTTTATTCGGATATTGTCTACGTTGCCCGAATATCGAAATGCATCGAAATCAAATACCGCCAACGCGAACGGTGTTTTTTTTCTCTTTCGTAATGTTTGGCCGAGAATAAATAATACGACGTTATACCCACGCAACAAAAGACTTCTTCTCGGCGTTGAGACTTATTTCATTTTATCCACCGACAAGTGAATTGAACATTATTACGGAAATAATGTGCTGCCGTTGCAGGTTTACGAAAACTCGAAATTCCGATAACACCGGCGAAAAAAAAAAAAAATAATACGTTTTTCATTCTAAGACTATAATTATCCGTATTTGTGCAAACGAATCGCTGCGGTGGTGTGAAACGAGGCCGTCATTTTTTTTTTTTTTTTTTTAATTTTTTCTTTTTAGTCTTTACGAGTACAAAAATACATTTTTTTTTTCAACTTTCAACCGGCGTCTTTATCCGTTTCGGTTAAACCGTCCGAGTTAAATATGTACCAATTCCATTTCAACCTACTTGACGTGGAACACAACAACAATTTATTATAATACCGTTGTTATATTTACTGCGGCGCGACGTCCCGGTGAAAA